GAGACATGGAGGAACCTAAAATATTTGCACATAACTTAGTGAAAGAAACCAATCTGAAAAGGCTACATATGGTATGATTCCAACCATATGATATTCTGGAAAAGGCCAAACTACAGGAATAGTAAAAACATCAGTGGTTTCCAGGAGTTGGGTGGAGAGAGGGATGATTAGAGCACAGAGGATTTTTAGGACAGTGAGACTGTTCTATGGTACTATAATGGTGGATATAAGTCATTATACATTGATCCAAACTCATAGAATATATAACACCAAGAGTGAACCCTAGTGGAAGCTGTGGATTTTGAGTGATAATGATATGTCAATGGAAGTTCATCAATTGTAACATATTTACCACTCTGTGTGGGGGTGTTGATAACGAGGAAGGCGATTATATGTGAAGGCAGGGGAAATATGAAATATCTCTGTACCTTCCTCTCGATTTTGCTGTGAACCTAAAACTGCTATATAGAGATAAAATCTTTTTAAAAATGGTTGCAATTTTTATTCCCCTCCCTATGTCCATGTGTTATCATTGTTCAACTCCCACTTATGAGTGCGAGTGTTTGGTGTTTGGTTTTCTGTTCCTGTGTTAGTTTGCTGAGAATGATGGTATCCAGCACACCGGGGCCTGCCAGAGGGTGGAGGACAAGGGGAGAGAGAGCATTAGGACAAATACCTAATGCATTCAGGGCTTAAAACCTAGACGATGGCTTGAAGGGTGCAGCAAACCACCATGGCACATGTATACCTATGTAACAAACCTGCACATTCAGCACGTGTATCTCAGAACTTAAAGTAACATTTTTAAAAAATGGTACCCCTGTATAAGGCACTTACTATGAATGAATCTTGCAAGACTGGATGTCACTGTGGGTGAGTCAGTAAGTGAGCAATGAGTGAACGTGAATGCCTAGGACATTAGTGTAAGCTACTGGAGACTCTAAACACTTACACTTACACTTAGGGAGGGTCCATGTGGGAAGACATGTGAGTTCTCTAGAAGCTGAGAACTAGCCCCAGCCGATGACCAGCAAGAAAGTAGGAACTTCAGTTCTCCAATTGCATGGAACTGAACTCTGCCAACTTAAATTACCCCAAGAGCCTTGCCGACAACTTGATTCACTCTTGTGAGACTCCAGAGAAGCTAAATGAGCCACTTGGTGCCTGGACTCCAACCCTAGAAACTGTGAGGTAATAAATGAATGTTTTTAGAAGCCGATAAATTTGTGGAAATTCGTTGCAAGAAAAACAAAGCTAATACACAATGTATATTCTTGTGCAGGGAACTTATCACATTTTTCCAACATTTTATGATAATTTGGGACTCTCAGATTTTGCATTCCAGTACTAAATTTATGCCAAAGTATGAATTTTGCCAATATCTTAGCTCTCTAACTTTATTTGCATTTACATTTGTTCTTTTGGAGCACATAGTCTAATAATTCTTTAGAAGGGGATCTGTATTATTTATTGTAATCCTTATTTGATATTTTGATATCTTTATACCATCAGAGGATATCTAAGGTGAATAATACTTTAAGAGTATATGTTTAAATCTTTTTCTCCTCACAAATGAAATCTAGTTAGCCTGAATATGGAGGGAAAGATTAAATTAAATTTGATCACAATTACTATTATTCTGTAGACCTTTAGCATCCAAGTTTACAGATAAGCCTATACAAGTTAATAACCTTTTATAATGTAGATTTACTGTGTGATTTGAAAATATTTGTCTCTAAAAGCAAGAAAACAAAATGGTGAAAACTCATTAGAAGTGACATAAGTAAGAAGCCAGTGAAACAGGCAGAATAAGATGCATTGAATATAGGTGAGTGAAATGCTAACCAGAAGGATAAATAAATAGAAAATAGGATGAAACATACAAGAGTATCAGAGGAAAGATACAGAAAAAAATATTTTTTCCATCATGCCATCACTGACCAGACAACTCTAACTCCAAATTGCCCTCCAATTAGTAACATCTAGTTTGGTCCCATTCTGGCCCCCTGGTTCCACTGCACCCCCCTCAAACACACACACACACACACACACACACAATCTCTTGGAATTATGTCATAGCTATCTCCAGTAACACTTACCACTGCATCTCTCTGACAGAGCAAATGTGTGCTGTTGACCCTGAGTACCTTCTGTTTGTGGCCTTGCTCAATCCTCAATGCTGGTCCTTGTAACCTCATAATCAGTAGAGAAGGATGATACAGTAGGGAAAGATACAAAATATATGTACAGTATACACCCCAGGATGCTGCAAGTGTGGTCCTTCCATCCTACTTGCCTCCTACCCTAAATGTGTTATCTTCCACCAGTGCCTACTTATTTTCCCTTGCCTCGTACTACAAGTTTTAAATTGATTTTATACCCCATGTGATTTCAGCATCATCCTTTTGTCTATGAGCTTTGGAAGGTGCTGTGTGTTTCAGAGATGGCCTAATGCAACTAAAACTAATAGTGCATTTTCTTTTTGCTTTTGATTTTATTTAAAATTTTTAAGTGTTCAATTTTTGGCTTTCTAGAATTTCAGCAAGCTAGATCTAACTCAGGAATATTTGGGGTGGAAGACAAGTAGGGAATATGTAACTTTTAAAATATAGGACATTCATTTACAGAAAAAATTACTGAAACTCAAACAGCTAAAATAAATTGTCCTCAATCTGGTAGAAATGAATCACTCATGATGTTCTAGTGATTTAATCTCCAGAGAAGGAAAATAAAAAATAATTTCATATAAATTGCGATTAAAAATCATGTTCTTATATTCAGGGTTAGAGATATTCGACTGTATGTCAATGAATCCTCTAGTCAGTATTTTGTTAGAAAGGGAGAGAGGGTGAAGTAGAAAATAAACAGAAAAATAGAGGCAGGAAAGTAGAGTTGAATGAATAGCACTAGGGGAATGTATTCACTTACTCTACTACCCAAGAAGGAGCCACACTTGAGATATATTTCTGGACTGTAACTTTCATCTACTTTCTCATGAGAGAATTCAACCTTTATCCTATCTGCAAGGTGGAAAAAAAGTCACTCAACACATAGCTGGTGTTTTGCTGCCCCCTCCCCCTTGGAATCTTCCTGGCTTCCAGGTCTCTTGCAGTATGAAAACCGAGGCAGGTGTCCCATCCTGGGATTGATTTAGTCCACAAAAGGGCAGGCTTTCCAAAAAGAGTCTGATTTTATCCTGGAGGTTACTTTCTCTTTAGTAGTTGTATGAGGAATAAAGAACACATTGTATTTATGATTTCCTTGTTACTTTTGCCAACTGATTCCACATCCAGAGAAAAATACGTATGTAGGTTTGAGAGAACACATGAAAGCATGTGATTTTTTTTTTAACAAGATTCTTCAGATGTTACCACTTGATCCATCACTTTAAATATTTTCAGATATATGAATAAGAAGTTAGACAAGATTCATTTTTGGTTCAAAGTTGTCATAAATTGTGACATCAATTAGAATATTATTTTCCCCAAAAAATAGCTCCTTCATATGCACAAAGCGAATGAACCCAAATTTTCAAACTCACTTGAAATTACTACTATATAGAAAAGAAGTAAAACTGATACAAAAAGAAGCAAAAGAAAACTACAGAAAAGCCAGAAGTAGGAAATAGAATAGTCTACTTTTTTCAACCTTACAGAGAGAATCTGATTTCAGCTATGTTTATACGTATCATTAGAAAGAAGTGAAATGGCAATTAATCAAAAAACTATATACCACAGTGTAATAGTTACTGAGTCTCCATCCAGATTGTTGGCTAATGAGTACACCTTTACCCTTCACAAAACATAGGAGCCTGGAAAAATACCCTGTAAGTCAGGATTTCAGCTTTCTTCACAAAAGAGAAATAACTATTCAAATATTCAAAACTTTATTTTTAAAGGTAGCCTTCACTACAAATGTAAAAGTCTGGGGAAGTTCCTTTTAACCCCATCCAAAGAGTTCATAAACACATGAAATAGAACAAATTCATTTTTAAAACAACATTATTAAAACAGCAAAAGATAGCATCCATCGGCATTAGTGCAACTTCTGAAAGGTAGTGCAAAATCCTCAGGTAATCAGAGGACCAAGGTTACAAAGGTTGTCTTAACCACCAGAATCCAAAGCTCAATTCCTTTGCTTAGTTCAAGGAATAAAAATTACATAGTCCAACCAGAGAAAAAATTGCTCCTATAAGGAAGAAAAACAACAGGCAGTAGTACTGATTAGAAGCTTTTACATAAAAATCTTAGATATTTCACTGTGGCTCAACTAGGGAGGAATAAAGGGATTGAGAAAGAGGGAATTGATTTTAAACTGCATAATTTACCACAATATTATAATAATCCCAATTTCAAACTGCAGAGTTGACTACAATATTGTAATGATCCAAGTATAGTCATTGCAATACTTACATATAGCTATTATTAACAAATAATTATAAAATTTATGTAATAGCATCTCAAATTTCAATTTAAGATAGTTAATAGATCCCTGAAATAAGAATGTACAGGTTCTGTGTCTTCTGGGATCTAAGGTCCAAGAACTATAGACTATATGAATAGTTCTTAGGACTCAACTTTCCATTCAAGAGTGGAAAGTTGATTTTAGCTCTTCTGTTGTAGGCATTTTGTCCTTGCAGAACAAAACGCAAAAGTTAACACGCATATCGATTACTGTCTTCATGGTAATTCCTGGAAATTTCTAGTCCTATTCTATAGTAATGTTGCAGTCAAATTTTCATTCTTTGGTTGATTGGGATTCATAACATGAATAACTATTGAGTGTTTCTTGCAAATTGGTCACATTTTACTCAAAATAGTAATGAGAAATACTATGACAGAATATATCCCTAATCACCACAAATGCATGGTAACGATGATCCTAAACTGGAATTATATGGGCACATGCTGTAGAATATATGGTGTATGTCACCTTGAACCCTCACCTTTTTTCTCTTAATATAATGGAAAACATTTAGAGTACTAAGTCAAAGTACTCACCTAAATAATACTCCTGGATACACAAATTTCCTGCTTGATAATACTGAGTTTGGACTGTTTTCTTAGATTTATCTGTAGTATTCTGTATTACGTTTTGTTCAAGTAAAGGAGGCTTTCTGAAAAACAGGGAGAAAAACATATGCAGGGATTTGAGGCTGGTACATACATTACAGTTATTTTTGTAATGGCTGGGACTATGAGAATAGAAATAAACTAGACATTCTCTCTTTGGGTTTTAAAGGATAGAACACCAAATCAAGTCACTTCATGTTGAAACGGAAATTTGTTATTTTGCAGAAGGATGAGGAAAAGTTTCTAACAGAATGTTAATTAGAACTTTCCATTACCCCAGAATTAGTGATTGTGACCCAGAACTAAAACCAAAGTAGTTGCAAATGCCAGAAACTTTCAAATTTGCTGGACCAGATCTAGTATCTCTAAACATGTCACCCTATGGTCTATAGAAAATGATGAAATTCTGTTTTGCATTCCTGGCCTGGTGGGTGAGGAGTCTACTGAAATGCTCCCCTTCTCTGTGAAGCCAAAGTAAGAGTGTTTTAAATGAAGACTTAGACACCGAGGATACCTACACTGGAGACTGGCATCTCACTTCCAAGTAGCATCTGCTCATGTAGCAGGCTGGTGTGTCTTCCACATATACCTCTTTAGTATGCGGGAAAAAAAATTGAGACGTCCAAGAAGCAAAAAGAGTAGAGTGGAAGAGCCATACAACCCCAACATTTGGCAGGTGCTTTCCTACCAATACCTGGGATTGAGTTATTTCTGAAGTATAACAACTAGCAATGCTTTATGCATGCAGATTACTAATTATCTGTGTAGAGCTCCCCAAGAAATAAGAGGCTCAGTGATCAACAACCAAGTTAAGAGACTGAGGAGAGGTATCAAAAGTAACATCTGGGTGGAGCCGGTAAAGCATTATATAGATTGCCCCATCAAAATGTACACATTGGCATCTCTATGCCTTTAGTGAGCCCTAAAGACCCAAGCAAATTTGAGCAACATTTAGAGTGTACAGTAAAAACTTACTTGATCAAAGCTACTAGAAATGGATGACAACTGTGCCAGGTTGACACTCATCCTTCCTTTCTTTTTATCCTTTTTCTCTACCTTAACATGCCAAGGCAGGGAAGAACGCAGAAGATAAAGTATTTATAGAGTAGGTTGAGCCCTCTTTTTCTCCAATCGTTTGTACCCAGGGCTGGCAGTAGTAAAGGAGGGGAACATTAAATTTGATATGAAATTGAGGTTTTCATTAAGCTTAATTTATCATAGGAGAAAAAGGCAAAAGATATAATGGTATGGGAAGAGAAGACTTTATAGAACAGAACTGAGCTGAGTTACTGAAAAAGAAATACAATCATTTACTTATTATGCTTTTATATAGTTCGGATTATTCAAAAAGTAGATCATATTTAAAATTCCAACAGATACGTAATTGGGCCACATAAATAACTGAGCCAAGAATGAGCCAAGGTACCTCACCTCTGCATCTTCTACATTATTCTCCCATTGCAGAAGTGTTCTTAAAAACAAGGAGAAAATGGTGGTCATTAGCAAGTCTTCATTGTTATAACTCTGGGTAAATCAGAGACTGACTCTGTTTTAGTTTGAAAATTTTGGAAGAAAAAAATCATTTTGAATCCCTTGGGCCATTCTCTTCCCTGGGACAATCAGCGGCAGAGTGGTGGTATGTTCATAGAGGAAATCAATAGTGCCTATGATAGCCTTGGGACTGGGCGGGTTGGAAGTGGTGGGTACGAAGAATGCCCAGGAAAAGGAAAGTTCACTAACAAAATCCTGTTAGAGAAGAAAGAAAAACCAGGTCAAATTCAGCTGATGCCCATCCACAGAGAGATCATTTAAACTATCCCTAGCCAGAGGAGAATCACCAATCCCAGTAGTCAGAACTTGAGTTCCTGCGAACCTCACCACAGAGGGCTAAAGTCCTCTGAGTCTCTAAACTTGAAAGGCAGTCTAGGCCATAAGGACTGCGACTCTTAGGTGAGTCCTAGTGCTGAACTGGGCCCAGAGACAGTGAACTCGGGGAACACATGACCTACTAGGACACAAGCCATGCAGCTAAGGAGGTGCTGGCATTACCCCCACCTCTAAACCCAGGTTGCACAGCTTGTGGCTCCAAAAGAGAGCTCTTTCTTCCACTTGAGGAGAGGAGAAAGAAGAGTGGGGAGGACTTTGTCTTGCATCTTGAATACCAGTTCAACCACAGCAGGAGAGGGCATTGGTCAGAGTTGTTAGTCCCCTCATTCCAGGTCCTAGCTTCCAGACATTTCTAGACACACCCTTGGCCAGAAGGGAACCCACTGCTTTGATGGGAAGGATGCAGTCCTGGCAATATTTATCACCTGCTAACTGAGAAGACCCTGGGCCCTGAATTATCAGCAGTGATAAGCAGGTACTACATTGAGGGCCTGGGGGGAGCCTATGAGACTTGCTGACTTCAGGTGGGACTTACCACAGTCCCAGCTGTGGTGGCTATGGGGCAAAACTCCTGCTTGAGAAAAAAAAGTCCAGGACCAGACAGATTCACAGCTGAATTCTATCAGGCATTGAAAGAAAAATTGGTGCCAACCCTATTGGCAATATTCCACAAGATAGAGAAAGAGGGAATCCTCCTTAAATCGTTCTATGAAGTCAGTAACACCTTAATATCAAAACCAGGAAAGGATGTAACAAAAAAAGAAAACTACAGGCCGATATCCCTGATGAACATAGATGCAAAAATCCTCAACAAAACACTAGCAAACTGAATCCAAAAGGATATCAAAAAGGTTATTCACCATGATCAAGTGGGTTTTACACCAGGGATTCAGAGACGGTTTAACACATGCAAGTCAATAAATGTAATACACCACATAAACAGAATTAGAAACAAAAGTCACATGATCATCTCAATTGATGCAGAAGAAGGATTTGACAAAATCTAGCATCCTTTTATAATTAAAACGCTCAGCGAAACTGGCATAGAAGGAACATAGCTTAAGGTAATAAAAGCCATCTATGACAAACTCACAGCCCACATTATACTGAACAGGGAAAAGTTGGAAAGCATTCCCCCTGAGAACTAGAACACTACAAGGATGCCCACTTCTACCACTTTTATTCAACATAGTACAGGAAGTCCTAGCCATAGCAATCAGACAAGAGAAAGAAATAAATGGCATCCAGATCAGTAAAGAGGAAGTCAAACTGTCACTGTTTGCTGATGATATATAATCGTATACCTAGAAAACCCTAAACACCCAACCAAAAACCTTCTAGAACTGGTAACTGAGTTTAGCAAAGTTTCAGGATACAAAACTAATGTACACAAATCAATAACTCTGCTATACACTAACAGCAACTAATCCGAGAATCAAATCAAGAACTCAACCCCTTTCACAATAGATTAAAAAAAATAAAATAAAAGACTTGGGAACATACCTAGCCAAGGGCATGAAAGACCTCTACAAGGAAAACTACAAAATACTGCTGAAATAAATCAAACAACACAAATAAGTGTTTCCATGGGATGGAAAACACATCCCATCCTTATGGATGGGTAGAATCAATATTGTGAAAATGACCATGCTGCCAAACACAATCTTCACATTCAATGCAATTCCCATCAAAACACCAGCATCCTTCTTCACAGAACTTAGAGAAAACAACCCTAAAATTCAATGGAACCAAAAAAGGCCTGCATAGCCAAAGCAAGACTAAACAAAAAGAACAAATCTAGAAGCATCACATTATCCAACTTCACACTATACTATAAGGCCATAGTCACCAAAACAATATGGTACTGGTATAAAAATAGGCAGATAAGCTAATGGAACAGAATAAAGAACCCAGAAATGAAGCCAAAAACTTACCACCAACTGATCTTCAACAAAGCAAACTAAAATATAAAGTGGGGAAAGGACACCCTATTCAACAAATGGTGCTGGGATAATTAGCAAGCCACATGTAGAAGAAATGAAACTGGATCCTCTTCTCTCACCTTATACAAAAATCAACTCATGATGGATCAAAGACTTGAATTTAAGACCTAAAAACCATAAAGATTCTAGAAGATAACATCAGAAAAACCCTTCTAGACATTGGCTTAGGCAAAGACTTCATGACCAAGAACCTAAAAGCAAAAACAACAAAAACAAAGGTAAATAGATCGTACTTAATTAAACTAAAAAGCTTCTGTGCAGCAAAAGAAATAATCAGCAGAGTAAACAGACAACCCGGAGTGGGAGAAAAATCTTCACAAACTATACATCTGACAAAGGACCAATACCCAGAATCTATAAGGAATTCAAATCAGTAAGAAAAAAAAACAATCCCATCAAAAAGTGGGCTAAGGACATGAATAGACAATTCTCAGAAGAAGATATACAAATGACTGACAAGCATATGAAAAAGTGCTCAACATCACAATCATCAACACAATGATGAGAGAAATGCAGATTGAAACCACAATGCGATACCACCTCACTTCTGCAAGAATGGCCATAATCAAAAAATCAAAACATAATAGATGTTAGAATGGATGGTGTAAAAAGGGAACATTTTTACACTGTTGGTGGGAATGTAAACTAGTACAACCACTGTGGAAAATAGTGTGAAGATTCCTTTACAAAGTAAAAGTAGATCTATTGCTCAATTCAGTAATCCCACTACTAGGTATCTACCCAGAGAAAAAGTCATAATACAAAAAAGATACTCGCACATTCATGTTTGTAGCAGCACAATTTGCAATTGCAAAAATATGGAACCAGCCCAACATGCCCATCAATCGACAAGCAGGTAAAGAAAATGTGGTATACACATACCATGGAATACTACTCAGCCTGAAAAAGGAAAGAAACAATGGCATTCACAGCAACCTGAATGGAATCAAAGACTATTATTCTAAGCAAAGTATCTTAGGAATGAAAAACCAGACATCATATGTTCTCATTCATATGTGGGAGCTAAGCTATCAGGATGCAAAGGCATAAGAATGATACATTGGACTTTGGGGATTCAGGGGAAAGGGTTGGGGGTGGTGAGGGGTAAAATACTACACATTGGGTACAGTGTATACCATTCAGGTGATGGGTGCACCAAAATCTCAGAAATCATTAAAGAATTTATTTATGTAACCAAACACCACCTGTTCTTCCAAAACCTATTGAAATTAAAAATTAAAAAAATTTTAAATCAGTAGCATTTCTATATGTCAACAATAAACAGTGTGAAAAATAAATTAAAAAGTAATCCCACTTACAATAGCCACACACAAAATTAAATATGTACGAATTAACCAAAGAAGTGAAAGATCTCTATAATGAAAATTATAAAACACTAGAGAAAGAAATTAAAGAGGACACTCCTAAAAAAAATGGAAAAATATTCCATGTTCATGGATTGGAAGAATCAATATTGTTAACATATCAATAGTACCCAATGCAATCTACAGATTCATTGCAATCCCTACCAAATTCCAAGACATTCTTCACAGAAATAGGAAAAACAATCCTAACATTTATATAGAATCACAAAAGACCCAGAATAGCCAAAGCTATCCTAAGCAAAAAAGAACAAAGTGGAGGAATCACATTACCTAACTTCAAATTATACTACAGAGCTATAGTAACCAAAACAGCATGGTAGTGACATAAAAACAGACACATAGATCAATGGAACAGAATAAAGTACCCAGAAACAACAAATCCACACACCTATAGTGAACTCATTTTTGACAATGGAACCAAGAACATACACTGGGGAAAAGACAGTCTCTTTCATAAATAGTGCTGGGAAACTGGATATCCATATGCAGAAGAATGAAACTAGTTCCCTATCTCTCACCATATACAAAAAGTCAAATTGAAATGGATTAAAAATTTAAATCTAAAACCTCAAACTAAGAAACTAAAAGAAAACATTGGGGAAAATCTTCAGGACATTGGTCTGGGCAGAAATTTCTTGAACAATACCCTACAAGCACAGGCAACCAAAGCAAAAATGGACAAATGTGACCACATCAAGTTACAAAGTTTCTGCACAGCAAAGGATACAATCAACAAAGTAAAGAGACAACTCAAAGACTGAGATAAAGTATTTACAAACTACCCATCTGACAGGGGATTCATCACCAGAATATATAAACAGCTCAAACAACTTTTAGGTGAAAAAAAAGAATCTAATAATCTGATAAAAGAAAAATTGGGCAAAAGGTTTGAATAAACATTTCTCAAAAGATGACATACAAATGGCAGACAGGCATTTGGAAATGTGTTCAACATCATTGATCAGAGAAATGTAAATCAAAAGTGCAATGAGATATCATCTCACCCCAGTTAAAATAGCTTGTATTCCGAAGACAAGCAATAGCAAATGCTAGTGAGAATGTGGAAAAAAAGGAACCCTCATAGCCTGTTGGTGAGAATATAAGTTAGTACAACCACTATGGGAGACAGCTTGGAAGTTCCCTAAAGAACTAAAAATAGAGCTACCATGTGATCCAGCAATCCCACTGCTGAGTGTATACTCAAAAGAAATCAGTATGTTGAAGAGATATCTACACTCCCATGTTTGTTGCAGCACTGTTCACAATAGCTAAGATTTGGAAGCAACTTAAGTGTCCATTTTATCCAGGTGGATGGATAAAGGCAATGTGGTACATATACACAATGGAGTACTATTCAGCCATAAAAAAAAGAATAAGATCCCATCATGTGCAACAACATGGATGGAACTGGAAGTCATTAGGTGAAATGAGACAGGCAGAGAAAGACAAACATCACATGTTCTCACTTATTTGTGGGATCTAAAAATCAAAACAATTGAACTCATGGACATAGAGAGTAGAAGAATGGCAATCGAAGACCAGGAAAGGTAGTGGTAGGTTGGGGGAGCAGGGAGGTGTGGTTGGTTAATGCATACCAAAAAAATAGAAAAAAATAAATAAGACCTACTATTTGATAGCACAACAGGGTGACTGTAGTCAATAATAACTTAATTGTGCATTTTAAAATAAGCAAAAGAGACTAATTAGATTGTGACACAAAGGATAAATGCTTGAGGGGATGGATACCCCATTCTCCATGTGATTATTATGCAATGCATTCCTGTATCAAAACATCTCATGTACCCCATAAATATATATACCTACTATGTACCCACAAGAAATAAAAATTTTTAAAAAATTTTTAAACCACAATTTCTCCATCAGCTACCAGAGAGACAAATAGGTTCATTTCATTAATAAAATACACTGAGACAGTCAGCTTTATATATAAACATATATATAATTATATGACATATCTACACGTATGAAAGAACAGAACACTATCCATCAGTCAGACAGGTCTAAGGGCTGGACCTCAGCATATTTTCTAACATCTTTACTCTCATCGGAAACACCTTCCAGCCAAGCAAATGTTAGAGAACCTTAATCTCTGTAGCCAGCTAGACTTACCTTTCAAGGGAGCATCTTACTGGGATGTAAGTTCTGATATTCAAAAACATTGGTTGATACATGACGAAACTCTCAATAAGAATGCCCCATGGGCGTTCCTGAAGAGAATAAACAGGTGTGAACTCGTTTTACTTAAATCTAACAGTTCAAAAATAAGAGTTAAAATTTTTAAAATACAGAAATTTTTATTTTCTATTAAGTCAAAGGACAACAGAGCTAAGCAATAAATGTTTATGTTTAGAAAACACCCAAGTAATAGCTCCTGACATTATGCCACAGACATTTTGTTGTCTGTCAATGTGTAGACGACTCCTGATCACATTTGTTTAAGTGTAAGGCCCTGATTTTGGCAGACCTGTATTATAGGACAGGCTCTGCAACTTCCTCTGAGTATGAATTTTGACTAAATATTTCATCATTTCAGAGCAGGTTCTACCTTCACTACTCATAAAATGGAGATAATATAGCTCAGAGGTTGTCAAACTGGCCAGAGAATATTTCAGTCTTTGCAGACTGTACTAGCTGTCTTGAAAATACAGACCTACCTCATTTTATTGCATTTCACTATCACGCTTCACAGATAATGCATTTTCTACAAACTAAAGACACGTAGCAGTCCTGCACTGAGAAAGTTGAGCACCATTTTTCCAACAGCATGTGCTCACTTCATGTCTCCATGTCATATTTTGATCATTTCACAGTATTTCTAGTTTTTCATTATGGTATCTACTGTGATTTGTGATCAGTGATCTTTAATGTTACTATTGTAATTGTTTTGGAGCACCAGGAACCATGCTCCTACAGACAGCAACCTTAATAAATGTTGTATATATTCCTACTGCTCCACTGACCAGCCGTTCTTGTCTCTCTTCCTCTTCTCAGGCCTCTCCATTCTCTGAGACAACAATGTCAGATATTAATAATCCTACAACAGCCTCTAAGTGTTCACATGAAAGGAAGAGTTGCATATCTCTTACTTTGAATCAAAAGCTAGAAATGGTTAAGCTTAGTGAGGAAGGCATGTCAAAAGCCAAGATAAACCAAAATCTAGGCCTCTTGTGCCCCACAGTCGAGTTTTGGATGAAAGGAAAAGTTATTGAAGGAAATTAAAAGTGCTACTCCAGTGAACACCCCAATGATAAGAAAGCAAAACAGTCTTATTTCTGATACAGAGAAAGTTTTAGTGGTCTGGATCAAACCAGCCACAACATCGCTCATGCCAGAGCCTAATTCTCAGAGCAAGGCTCTAATTCTTTTCAACTTTATAAAGACAGACAGGTGAGAAAGCTGCAGAAGCGAAGCTTGAAGCTAGCAGAGGTTGGTTCATGAGCTTTAAGGAAGAAGTCATCCCCATGAAAGTGAAAGGTGAAGTTGCAAGTGCTAATTGAAAAGCTGCAGCAAGTTATCCAGAAAATGTAGCTAAGATTACTGATGAAAGTGGCTACAATAAACAGATTTTCAACACAGATGAAAAACCCTTACATTGGAAGAAGATGTCGTTTGGATTTTCACAGCTGTTGAGAAGCCAATGCCTGGCTTCAAAGCTGCAAAGGACAGGCTGACTGTTAGGAGCTAATGCAGCTGGTAATTTTAAGTTGAAGCCAAAGTGCATTTACCCTTCCAAAACTCCTACGGCCCTTAAGAATTATGCCAAATCTACTCGGCTTATTCCCTGTAAATAAAATCACAAACCCTAGATAACAGCACATCTGTTTATAGCATGGTTTACAGAACATTTTAAGCCTACTGTTGAGAGCTGCTATTCAGAAAACAAGATTTCTTTCAAAATGTTACTATTCCTTGACAACACATCTAGTCAATCAAGAGCTCTGATAAAGATGTGCCAGGAGATCAATGTTGTTTTCATGCCTGCTAACACCACATCCATCCTGCAGCCCATGGATCAAGGAGTAATTTTGGCTTTCAAGTCTTTTTTCAGAAATACATTTCGTAAGGCTATAGCTGCCATAGTGTTTCCTCTGATGGACCTGGGCAGAGTAAACTTAAAAATGTCTGTAAATGTTTCACCATTCTAGATGCCATTAAGAACATTTGTAATTTATCAGAGAAGGTCAAAATATCAACATCAGCAGAAGTTTAGGAGAAGTTAATTCCAACTCTTGTGGATGACCTTAAGGGCTTCAAGACTTCTACTACTTTCTTCAGTGGAGAAAATAACTGCAGGGATGATAGAAATACCAAGAGAGCTCAAATTAAAAATGAAGCCTGAAGATGTGACTGAATTGCTACAACCTCATGATAAAAATGTAATAGATGAGAAGTTGCTTCTTATGGATGACAAAAAAAAGTGGTTTCTTCAGAGGAATCTATTCCTAGTGAAGATGTCATAAACACTATTGAAATGACAAAGGATTTAGAATATTCCATAAACTTAGTTGATTAAGTAGTGGCAGGATGTGAAAGGATTGACTCCAATTTTGAAAGCTCTACTGTGAGTAAAACACTGTCAAACCGCATCACATGGTACAGAGAAATCTTTCATGAAAGGAAGAGTCAATCAATACAGTAAATTTCATTATTTTCTAATTCAAGAAATTTCCACAGCCACCCCAACCTTCAGCAACCGCCACTCTGATCAGTCAGCAGCCATCATCACTGAGACAAGACCTTCCACCTGCAAACATTATGACTGCTGAAGGTTCAGGTGATCTTTAGTATTTTTAGCAACAAAGTACAGCATTTTAAAATTAAAATTAGTATCCTTTTAGACATAATGCTATTGCACACTTAATAATCTGCAGCGTAGTCAAAACATATGTGCACCGTAAAACTAAGAAATTTGTGTAACTCACTTTAATTTGGTGGTCTGGAACCAAACTCAGAATACATCTGAAGTATGCCTGTACTCAATTCTGCCAATGTAGCATATGAATTGTCAATATCTAAATGAATGTACCCACGCTCCAATAAAACTTATAAACATAGATGGCTAGCTGAATTTCATCCACTGGCCATAATTGCCAATCCCAGATATGAGCTATTATTTGTGAATGAGAAATTACAGTACCTACAACATAAATAACAAATAGAAGTATTTCTAAAGAAAAACAATAGAAGTATATATAAGCATACCTCCATAGTGGTAGATAACATGGAAAGTACAAGTAAATATAAGTGCATCTCATGTACTATAATTTAAATATTCATTTTATTTAAATAGCATTGGAAAATGCCAGTGTCAAACGGAGATAATTCAATTCTTTCATGCAGTCATAGTCAATATTTGGATATATTTCAACTTTAAATACACATCGTACATGTTTAAACCATGGTATTCAAGGATGTTTGCTAGTACTTCAGATTGCTAAAGTTCAAATATCCCTTTTGGCATTTCCTGTTTATGTAACAATAAGGAATAACTAGGCCCAAGATTTTCAGTCTATAAAATGGCATGTGTAGGGTTGAGCATTATCCAGGACAGTATTTATCACACATAAGAGACATTCAAAGTAATCTAAATTTAGCACAAATTGATCAATGTTCCTGAGGAGTCCCTAGGTAATCTTGCTTTAGGAATAGCTGGCAATAGAATTCCAACCACATTGTCAAATACCTGTCTCTCTGCCCTACCTCCACTGCCCTCCACAAACTCCTGTCTTTTTCATCCCATGTTAGCCTCTTTTTCAGGGAAGGTCTCTCCTCAGGGGTGACAAATAGAAATCTCAGCACTTACTTCCTTCAAGATTATCTGTGTATAATCCCAATGAAAAAGAGTAAACTACGTCCCTAGAAATCTCTGAAAAGTTCCTAGTGTAGTTCCACTTGACCTGCCACAATTATCTAACCTGACAATTGGCATGACCTTTTCATTTATTTCACAAATATTAACTGAGCACCTATATTTTATTTAAATAGCAGTTGTATAGTGCTCGCATGCTGGGCATTGTTCTAGGTGCTGGGGATGTATCAGTAAGAAAGGGTGTGGTCATGTACCTGGAGACAGAGGCAGAATTGGTACAGATAAATCAGATATATTCAAAGTGGGGCAGATGCGAGTCCAAAAAGGAAAACCAAGCTGCCATTCCAAATACAGCAGGAAGATAAGGCAAAATCAACAGATGTGAGGCATCAGACTTGAATGGGTTAAGGGCATGAATGTCCAGTTCAAGTCCCAGCTACTCTGCTTTCTGTGTGACACTTGGCAGATTACTTGCTCACTCTATTCCTAATGTCTACTTTAAAAATGGAGATAATACTATTTAGCCAAGGGTGTTACTGTGAGAGTTAGGTAAGTAAATGACCTGGTACGTAACACATACTATTTGTTTGTTAAATAAGTAAAATATGCACTGACTGCAGTGATGATCAAAGAACTGAAGCTTCTAACATGCTCTTTAGCACTAATTGACACATGATTACTTAAGTGTTACTTCTCTCATTTTCTATTGGCTGTCTGTCTAATGACCCATTTTATTCAGGATAGTTAATAGAATTTCAAGTATTTTGGTTTCAGAAAAGAGAATTGGGTTGTCTTAGTTACACAACAGTTACATAACCAGGTAGCCGCTATTTTAGTCAGATATTTTGATCAACACCCACAACTGGGTGAAGGATTGTAGTGTTATTTTAGAATAAGATGTTTCCTTTAAGTTTGATTTTACCCCAGTTAATATAAAATCTCTCCATCAAAGGCAAGGGAGATGTGTAGCAAAAAGCTGGTAAAAGAAACATGTTTTCTTTAAATACCACAATTTTGTCTTGCATTTCTTCTACTATAAAATTGTCTGAAAAGTTAGAGAGTAGTCAATATTACATAATATAAAATCAACTATCAATTAAAAAACGCAGTGTTAATAAGTGAATGTGAATCCTAGAGAAGACTGTCATTTGTAAAAATATCAGCCATTCTTACGTATTTCATGATGCCACAAAAATCAAGAGCGTAACGGAACTCAAAGATATCATTCGTCACTCTGGTTACAGGACAGTCATTTCCTAGAGATAGCTCGTAATGCTGAGGTTGCAGGTTTTCCACAAGAGGTGCTCGTCTAATTTCAACCAGAAGCCAAGATTCAGTACACTCTACAAACACTGATGGAAGAACGAGAAGAGAGAATGTCAGATAGCATGTCTACCTCTAACCAATAGTTCAAAAAACATTAAACCTCTTAGTCAACCTGAATGCCCAGCTCCAGAGTAGATATGCCTCGGATCTATTTTTATGTTTTCTACTGTGAGATCTTAGATTATTTACTTAATCTTTCCATGACTTAATTTCCTCATTTGAATGTGAGGAAGTCATAGGAGCTCCTTCCTGGGACTCACTGAGTGTTAAATTACAAAGTCTCCAATATAGGACCTAGGGTATATTGAATTATTGCTTGATATTACTAATGAGGAAGACTGCTCCTTACCTGATAATAAAAAGGTTTTTTACATGCTAAACTTGTTATCCAACATGTACACATTGTCCAAAGTGAAGCTAATGAATACCCACCTTTCTTGTCAGAAATTATCTGTTAGAACATTTATAACATGAAATAGGACATTTATGTTGCCCACTTCAAAACAAGTATATAGTCTCTTTACATTTTCAAACAGTATTTCATTGTTTAATATGATCTTATTTATGCATATTCTGCAATTTGCCAAAGTTATATTGATTTGATGATTAGTGTGACTTATGATACCTTCTAGTAAAGAAAGTTTTATCCTCACTCACATTTTACATCAGGTTAATTCTGTTTCCTAATCTGCAAGATGATGTAGCATTAAGGCTACATGACAGTTTGAAAATAAACTAGACATTAGACTTAGCTAACATTTCTTATCATATCATATCATAATGGATTGCTTCTGTTATGAACAGGTATATTACTACAACCACATGAGAATATCCCTTTTTACGGCTAGAGAACCATTATAAAGATTAGACATAGGCACGTTCACAAAAAATGCCTTAATCAACTATTACTAAGTTTTATAGGCCAATTTGGCCATTGTCTAAAGTTAGAAATAAAGTAACATAATACTTTTGATCAAAAAATATTTACTAAAAATATTTTAAATCCTATGGAACTTGCTAATCAGAGGAATATACCTGTGATTATTTCCTTTATCAACCCAGAGGGAATCAAGGAAACTTTTCTCACTGCTTCCATCCCCATGCTATAACACTTGTAGAATTCCTTTACATTTTACTTCTTTCTCTTCCTGCTCAACGAGAGCTTTGAAATGTACTTGCTTACCTGTATCTCCTACCACCTACGTTTCACTAAGATAACTTTGTACTAATTTGAATTTCTTGAAACAAAGGGGCCACATTCTGAATCAGTGGTTCTCAAAGTTTAATCCTTGTACCAACAGAGTTGACATCCTAAGGAACTTCTTAGAAATACAAATTCCTAAGCTCTATTCAGACCTGTGTTTGACGGGGTTGGGTCCTGGCAATCTGTCCTAACAAGCGTTCCAGGTGAGACATGTAAAAGTTTGACAACTACCATTTTAAACAATTTTTTAAATCTCATATTTTGTCATAAGCATTGTATTTGAATATATGCTGAGTGATATATTTTGAATATGTTTTTGAATATATGCTATCACTGTATCATATATTCAAATACAACTATATTTAGCCTGAAATAGTCTAGTTATCTAGACATTGTTCTCTCTTCTTTCCTCTTTATTTACCCCTATCTTGCGTCTCTGCTGACTCACGCTGTCAAGTATTTTTGTTTCTTCCACTACAGATAGAAGAGGCAACAGGTTTAGTTAATAGGGATGAAGGAGCATTCAAATGACTGCATTCAAATGAAAGACAGTAGAGTACTGACACCACAAAAGGTATTATTATTGCTCCTTCTTCTCAGTTATCCCAAGCTTGTCTCAACTTCTCCAAGTGCTTGATTTTCCATCCCAACCCCCATTCCATTATGTGAACTGATAATAGAAAAATTAGAGGACATTAAAATATGGAGATATCAAACAAGCCTTATTGCCCATTGAGCTTCTATTCTAATGGTTGGGTAAGAGAAACTAAAGAACTATTTTAGATAGTAACCATTTTGAGGAAAAATAAGACATGAAAGGGACACAGAGTAAGGAGAGAGTTGAAATTTTAAATATGATGATCTGGGGTGGTCTCTTTAAGGACACATTTGAACGAAGCTCTCCAGAAGATGAGTAGAAGAATTATGCAAATAACTAAGGGAAGAACATCTCAGACAATGGGAAGAGAAAGTACAAATGACAGGTACGAGAGTTTGCTTGGAGAACCTGGGCAGTGAAGAGTCCAATATTGCAGGAAAAAATATAGCAAGTGGGGCAGAATTAGGGCATGAGATCAGAGAACTATCAAGGAACAAATCACCTGTAGTCCTGGAGGCCATTCAATAGGCACTTGACTGTCGGGGGATAAGTTGTTGGAAGATTTTGACCAAAGGAATGATGCATTCTTTCTTACATTTTGATGAGAGCTCTCTGGTTGCTATATGGAAAACATAATTTAAGGGGATGGGGTGACACATAAAACAAGTTACAAGGACAGTGCAATAATTCAAGCCAAAGATACTAATGGTTTGGACCAGCACAGTAATATTAGAGTTGATCAAAAATGGTCCAGTTCTTCAAATATTTTGAAGATAGAATCAACAGTTTGCTGATGTATAGAGTAAGAGAAAAAGGTAGCCAGGATAGTATCACAGTTTTCAGCTTTAGCAACTTGTAAGGTGCAGTTGTAAATACAAATTGAAGACAAGAGGCTTAATTCTTCCCATTAAAAATAAGGAAAGATTTCCCTCCTCTCCTTTTGCTTAGAACATTTACTTTAGAAAACTGGTACTTTCTCCTCTTTTTTAAAAAATGTAATGTTTAAAAAAATATATAGAGCCATTTGAAGAATTAATAGACCTTTTGTCAGCTTTAAGACCTAAGAATGTCTTTCTCAATGACCTGGGACCATCTCTTTGGAATGTAAACATCAAGGAAGAAGGTGTTCCTATCTCAGTTTCTAGGAGAGGATGACAGCCTAACTCCAGTAGATGCCTCGTTCTAATTTGCAGAACTATGTCCTATCATAAAGAGATGAAAAGTTCTTTTTCTAGATAAAGCCAATTACCTAAAAGAAGTTACCTCTATTACCAGGTAAAAGCTAGGATAAGTTACATGTGACAAATGGTACTGTCAAGTCCTCTTTCCTAAGGATTAATTGTTTTAACTTGAGAACACACATAGGGGATTTTATCTGCATAGCTATATGGAAGAATGAGATTTTCTTTCTTTGCAATCTCTTAGCAGATTGACTGTGATGTCTATTACATTCTTATTCAATAATAGAACTGTTTTACTTCTCTTCTACCACTGTGGAGTGTTTTCCTTGGCTAGGAGAAGATTTTGTTTTAGTTATATTTTCCCAACATAGTCACCATTGACTAATATGAGGGGATAATGTGGGAGAAACAAATGTGGCAGTTAATAGCAGAAGTCCAGTTTGGAAAGGTTAAGTCTGAAATGCCATTAGATATTCAAACAGATGTCAAACAGATAGTGGGAAATATGCATCTGAAGTTAAAAAAAGAATACTCAGACTGGGGATTAAAAGTGAGATAATTATGAACATAAAAAGGATATGTGATATCATGGCTCTGGATAGGATAACCAAAAAAAAAATTAGAATAAGAAAGAGGTTCTGAGATTGATTCTTGTGTGACCAAGATCAGGCAATGAAGGAGACACTAGAAAAGGAAAGAAAAGAAACGTCAGCGAGGCAGGACAAAAGAGAAGAGAACAGTATGACCTACAAGCCAAGTAAAGCAAGCTTTTAGGAGACGAATAATCCATCCCATGGACTATGACAAAAATCAAGTAAGTGAGGGCTAACAACAGAGCAACTGTCAAATGTTTTAATGTAGAAATCACCAATGTTTCAGGCTAATTTTTGATGGAGTGTTTTTGGTGAACGACTCATTAAAGTGAAATTAAAAAAAAAAGAGAGAGAGAGAAATAGGAGACAGTGAATACAGTAACTTTAAAGAGAAGACAACTGAGGAAGTAACTGGAAGAGGAAGTGGGATCAATAAGGCCAGAGATGTATAGACGATGGCACAGAGCTCCAGGATGATACAATTTCTTAGGAAGAGGAAATGTGAAGCTTGCATTAGGACACAAGATGGCCGAAAGTCTGGGAGATTCAAATCATGTGCGTTGGTTACAGTGAAGCTGTAGGCCAAATTCCCCACTCATTTAGAGTTTATTCAATTTTTTCATAGGAAAGGGACCCAGGAATACATCTTTGAAATTTTTCCAAACCTGAAATGGAAGTTTCAATATCCAGTTATATTCACTTGGAACAATGTATCAGCTGCTTTGATATATAAAAAAAAAATTGACGCAGTTCATTTGACCCAGTTAATATGAGTTTGATATGCTATTTGAAAGTGTGCTCTGAAAAGGAATCATTTACAAATGAAAGCAGCTGACCACTTTGTCCAAACTTTAAGCCACATGGCCAAAGGCATGAACACCTAAACAATCTCCACTCTAGGCACTGAGCAGAATCTCCTGATTATCAATTCATTGTGAATATTTCAGACACTACAAAGTGACAAGCATGACTAAGACAGAAGAAAATAAGAACCTCAGAAAGTATTAAGAAAAAATATAATCCATCTAATTATGGATTTAAGGGGAAATTACAGTAGTACAGATGCACAAATAAACTGAGTGAAAACAGCCAGTAGATATTAGCAGATGATCATCAGATTATGAAACCCCAAAGTCAAAAGTATGTAACAAAGCACCCCATTGCTTAATAGGCCACCCTCCAGCATCCTCTCTTTTTTCTTACTATTTTCAAGAGCATGAGTCGACGCAAAAAGTATGAGGAGCCCTCCTAAAACTCCAGAGATCCTCATTGCTGCAGATCGTAAACCAAGGAATCACAGGAAGCAGGTCTCCGCAGGTGTTTATAAACCTCTTACCTCTTCAGCTGTGGGTGATGTTTATCATTCTGGAGCGCACCGAGAAACACTCAGCACCTCATTGGCTTTTCCTCCTTACAGGTGAAGTCTTTATAATCATAATTCAGAAAACAC